GTTGGCTGGCACCTGGTGGCAGGACGTGATCGAGCTGGACAGGGACGACGAGCAGTCCGGGAGGATGCAAGAGATCCACCAGCATCTCCTGGACGCCTACAGCCAGACCCCGCCGGGGGAGGGATCCTCCAGGGGCGGCAGCCAGGTGCCCATCGAGCTCATCATGGAGGACCCTGCGCAGGAGGCGTCGGAGTCCAGCCAGGAGCTCTGCGACACCGTGCAGGAGGTGTCCGAGGCCCACGACCACGACCACATCGTCGAGGACAAGGCGCATTCCGTGTAGATTAGTTAGATGATTTGGACAATGCTGGATTCTTCGATGGGGTGTGTACGTATGTAGATGCTGTACAGCTTTGCTCCCTGCCGTATATATGTGACGTAACGTGACAAGTTCATTTGTAGCGTTAGCGCGCGAAGCAGACTCGAAACTCGAAAACCAAATATTTACTTTTTTATAAATCTACCCTTCTACCCTATCATATAATACATCAGTTAGAATAAATCTACAGTCACATAACAAATACCTGCTCCACAGTCATGATCTATACTACATCCACACTCATAAATACACCTAAAAAATATAACACCATAAAAACAGATGCACCAGATTATCTCTTAGCCATTCTCTCTTATTACTCGTCCAAATCCGGCTAATATTATTCAGAGTGTCTGCCCTCCGTCACCTCCCACGCGGTCGCGCGCCCCCCTCCGCCCGAAACCCGCGCTCGCGCCAAGGAGGCCACGACCACGGTTCGATTCCTCCTGCAAGTAGGTTGTATCCCCGAAAAACAAATGAAACATCATCGGCTCCTCCCATCCGCGACTCACGGCTAGGGTTCCCCGCCGCCGCTACGCCGGTGCCGCCCTGTGGACCGCTTCGTCGCCTCATCCTCGACCCTGGCAGGCGGCAGCGGGCGCCAACGGTTGCGCGCGGGCCAGAACGGACAGGCGGCGACGGCGGCGGCGCTTCGGGCGTCGGCAACCATGGGGCGGAAGCGACGGTCAGAGGCCGCCCTCATCCTCATCTCTGTCGACAACCATGGGCGGTGGGCCCCTACGACGTACTACTACGCCGTTGTACGGCTCCGGCCTCTACCCCATCAACATCCAGGCGCACGCGTCGGGCGGCACACCCGGAGCAGCAGCTGAGGCCCCGTGCCAACCTCCCCTAGCCCTCCACGCCGGACCAGGGCCTACTCCAACAGCACCGCCCACCGCCGTCGAATCAACGTCACCTACGTCCTTCCTCTCGTTGCCTCTGCCTGGCTCAAACCCGGCCTCCGAAAATGACGCAGCAATGGCGACCGGAGGCAAAAGCCGTGAGGAGAAACTGAATCCGCAGTACTTCTCCTCTCTCCATCACGGTCCAGGAATTTTCCTCAATCATTGAATATGCCCTGTCAAATTCTAAGTTCCAGCACGGGCATTATACTAGTCTATATAATATAGGATGTCTAATCTAATGGCAATTGGGTGTTTTGGCCCAGCCCAACACTTACTCTTTGTCCATTGGATCGACAGCTTGGATGGCCGATCTTATCTCCTACTTAACCCTAATCTCTGTCTCTCTCTTCGTTCTTCCGATATTATCGTACATATTAAGGGTTAATTAGAACAGTGTTATAATTTTCATAGTTATAAAAAACACCGTTATAATTCACCTATTCTGAAGTATGCATTCTATTTATACACATCTCCAGCTACCTTGGACCTAGCTGCAGAGGCATGTAGTTTCGTTACATACAGACCAAAATATCCTCTAGTCTTCTTTTTTCAGCCCATCACCGCACATTGACCAGTCATTCGGCGCGTAACTAGGGTGTGTTTTTTGACTTTTATCTTGACATGACGGTCAACTTGCAAGGGTGAATGCGTATAATCTCATAGAAAAGAATGTTTGGTTACTCTCGTAGGTGGATATAGAAATATGTCATCATCCTACTAAGTGGGTACACCTAAATTGAGCTTCTCCGCTCATGTAGACCCACCGCATGTCAGTCTCAAGTGTAGGGGTTAGAGCATCTCCAACAGATTATTTGTCTCATTCCTAATATAAAAAATGGCCATATAGGTAATTGAGAGGGCTCCAACAGATTACTTACCCCATTAATAATACCTGAATTTTTAAGCAACTACTCAACATCCCTCATTTCTCCCTAGGTTGCAGGAGATGCATCTTGGCTCCCCTATCGGTAGTTTCCTACGGCGGGACGACACTTCACGACAGAGAGAACGACGAAGAGAGAGGAGGAAGAGGACCTTGACAGTAAACGGTGACTGATCGACGGTGCCCACATGCCTCCTTCTCGCCGAAACTAGATTGAGGCCGGCATGGACCTCAAGACCCTCAAGGCGATCGTAGAGGGGCCATGGCTGGAGCATCGGCGGAAAGCACGGCCCAGGGCGCCTTAGGCGGCGGCGGCGAGGCGTAGCCGGGGAGCCTCGGGCGAGGAGGGCACCAGCAAGGAGCCCACCTCAACCGACGGCCCGAGTGGTGGTGGTATTGGGCACTTGACAAAGGTGAGAGATGTGGAGAAGAGAAGAGAAAAATAAAAAGAAATGCCTTCAAATCGCTGACAGTGACCCTTGGGTCAGGATAAATATAAGTGATGTGTTTTTGTTAATCTGATGGAAGAGAGATAGAAACAATATCTTACTAATAGTAGGAGATTAGCTATACTAACTTTTAAAGGGTGGAATATAGTAAGTGAGATGCTCTTACTGCATCTGGTCATAGAGGCAAGCATACATGTTCATCCACGGATGCAAGATAACTGTAACCACTCAACATTTTTCTCCTTGTCTAGAACTTACGATGAATGTATAATAAGGAAGCAATTAAACACTCTTGGCCGGCGTTCTAGCAAGGCTCAGCACCGCACTTTTGCTCGGACAGTCAGATAGACATTTGGTCGGTGGGTCCTTTCGTCGTGCCTCTTACCCGACGATGTGTCTCGACAGGTACAGGCGCATGGTCTTCTTCCTCACCAGCCCCCGCCTGCCGCCCAGGCCACCGGGGATCTTACTGTCCCCCGCTCCTTTCCCGCCCATCCCTAAACGCAATCGGCCATCTCTCCGACTGCCCCACTTCGCCACCTTGGCCGCTGGCGACCTCACCATGCTCACCGCCCACCACCCGTTGCCACCACCATCATTGCCTCGTCCTTCCCTAACCTTGCACTTGTCGCCCCCACCGCCAACTCCGCCCACCGGTTGTCTTCTCCTGACTGCTTGGCAGCGCTCCTACCGCCGGTCGTACCGTCGGGCCGGCCACTAGCCTAGGCCCTTCCCTTCCCCTTCGAAGGCGCTGGGTATGGATTCCTTCAATGAAACCCTAACCTTCACCGCCAAATAGTGATTGGGTCCTTTCGTTGCAACGAAAGGCGGGCTCTGCAGTACACTTCCTCAATGGCTGTCCAGCTGTTGCATCGGCAGCGGTACAGCTCTGCACGTTTTCAGCCGCAGCAGGAGGCACCCCGACTCCCCGAGCGAGACGTACCAGTTTCTACGTTAGACTGACCTAAATACGACACCCACCTATTCTCTGATTTTGGTCATGCACAGTAAAAAAGGTCCCAGACTAAAATTTGGATTCTCCAACGGACAGGCAACGCAAATCGCCTTCCTCGGTCTCTCCGCCCCGTCCCCTCCCTTGCCCCCAGACGCCCTCTCCCCTCCCCTCCATCCAGCGGCGCCCCGTCCCCTCCCTTGCCCTCCCCATCCCGGCGCGCGCCCCGACCCGCGCCTCTCCCCCTCCCTCCCTCCCCTCCCTCCACACAGGGCCTTGGCCGGTCCTGAGCCTGGCTGCGGCGGCGGCGCGCTCCTTCTCCGGCCTGCGCCTTGAGCCTAGCACGCGCCCGGGATGGGGAGCATCGGGTGGCGCTCTTTCTCCACCACGACACGAGGAGCACGGCGCGACCGTGTGGCGCCTCCCTCTCCTCCTCTCTCTCTCTCGCGTCTTGGCGGATCTGCGCTCGTGGTGGCCGGATCCGCCGCTGGTGGCCAGATCTGCGCTCGTGGTGGCCGGATCCGTCGCTGGTGGCCGAATCTAGGCGGCGGCGAGCATATCCGACCGAAGACGAGCATCTCCGACCGACTCGCCTAGAAGCGCCGGCCGCGCCCCGTCACGAGCCGCGCCTCACCGTGGGCCCACCACTACGGCGCCAGACATTTGCGTCCTCTCTCTCGTGAGACGCTTATTTGCCTTTCGATCTGGCTCGTACGCAAAATGCGTCCTTCGATTGGGTGTTCTGTTGGAGCTCGTTTCTGGTACCCAAAACACTGTGAATCACCTATTTTTGCGTTTGGGTGGTCTCGTCGGAGACAGTCTTAGTACGGTTCGTAATCCAAGGCCCGTTCGCTTGAACTACTTTTTGTCCGAGTCAGAGTCAGTCTATTTCAGTTTATTCTTCTTCACAGAACACTAAGGCCCGTTCGCTTGAACTACTTTTCGTCCGAGTCAAAGTTAGCATATTTCAGTTTATTCTTCTTCATAGAATACTATTGAATCAGCCAAAACCAACCGACTTTAATACCAGCCGAACAGCTCCATTGAACTAGCTCTGAGAACGAGCACTAGCTCGGTCGTCTACAGTGCCCCTCTTGTGATCTCTTAAGGACACGTCTTTATATCTATGTATAGTTATAGATCTACTTATGTACATATGGTGTGAGTTTAGTGTAGATGTGTCTATATACAAACAGATGCTATGTCAAAAAAAAAAGCGAGTCATAGGTTCTACAAGTAGCTCGATTTCATCAGCCATCATACAGCCAAACAAAATTATTCTGAAGCATGAACGGTTAGCATATGTAAAGCAACAATTTTAATTACAGCCTGACAACAGTCCTTGCTTCTTTTATCGCAACTACTGATGTGATGCAGTGATGCCCAACTCTACGACCCATCATCTCCCATCATGCACAAGTACTTCTGTACGCACGCATTTTGCGGATGCTAGACATATACAGGGCCCCCGCCGAGTAGCCCTCCTCACTGATCACCCTTCACCTGAGCTTAGTGAGCCATAGCTTGATCGCCTCTTGTGCCCTTTCTGGGCAAGGCTCAGCAGGAAGTCGGTGAACACGTGCTCGTACCCAGGCATTTTGCCGTACCCTGCGAGCATAAACATCTGGTCAGCAAAAGGCAGCATAAGTTGGAAAGGAGACTAGAAGTTAGGGGGTGTATGGCTAATAGCATCGTAAAATCAAAGAATCTACCCACAAGAAAACAGGCTGAGCTGGGATAACTTCGGTGTGCCAGGTTCTAGCCACTCTTTGGACTCCAAACTGTTTCTAAAAACATTACAACGGATAGAATGATACCAGTGTCACAGCACAAGCATCACGTTCGTTCAGTACATCCATCAAGCAGTATACCTGATATCATCATTAGCCATGATGACACGGGAGACAAACTACCTCTTTTCGCAGTGTCTCCAACTTTGGTATTTCATATTAGTGTCAGCAATGCACTGTGAATTAGTTTAAAGACTTTTAGCTATAGTAAAAATAGGATTAAACAGGAGATTCTTCGATCAATAATGTCTAAAATGTACAGGCAGAGGTTAGCTTTACCAAAACAAAGGACAGGTTGTGCATGCTCAAGAATGTCAGATTGCATACCAGGAAAGTAGTTCATGTCTATGACATAAAACCGATCTCTTGTCCCGTGCTGCCTAATCATATCAATGTTGAATAATCTAAGACCCTGCCAATCAGGTGAAAGGAAAATCAAAATGAGACTAATTCGCTCTAAAGTCTAATAAACAGGAAAAAAATGAGGGGCAAGAATCACATTACCAGTCGTCGGCGCAGCTCTCGTGCCAAGATCTCAAGCAATGGTCTCGGAGGAAGTTCTGATAGGGCATGTTAGAAAATCAGTTGTCAATAGTGTTTTCTAATACCAAGCAAAAAAAATTCTGCAAGGACCAAAAATTGGACAAGCAATGCGCACCAGCAACACCAGGATCAAGATCTGCATCATCTGCACTGGCTGCAGCACAAGAGACCCTTGGAAACCGAAATACCCCAGCATTATTCGATAGATCACCTTCGTCAACATTTGGAAGTGAAAACCGACGTACAACCCTTATTGCATCCCCAACAATGTACACCTTAAACATGACGCCACCTTCAAATGACAAAAGCCAAAATAAAAGGTTAACATGGAACTGCAGAGGTACTCAAAAGAAACAGATTACAAGACTCGATGAATATACCATGGTTAACAAATTCCTGAAGAACCAAGGGGGGCTCAAGTTTGGTTAGTGAAGTTGGATCATAAGCAAGGGATAGCTCATGGGACTTCGCCACCAAGGGTTTTGCCACTGCAAAGTTTTGAAGGTTAAAAGGTGGGAGATATAAGCCTTGAAATAGAATTCAATGTCAATGATTAACCACTGCAGCAACTTCAAGCATGCTCGTGATATTTTAGAACTCACTTCCAAAATATACCAAAACAGTTAATATTCTCATTTATTTCAATAAATGTGCTGCAAGCTTCCACACAGGAACCAGAAGCACTTATGTACAAAAGACACTATAGGTCATGGAATAATTAAGCCAGGATCATACACAGAGTAGTACAATGGATAGAGTCAATGGGGTACAAATTTTAGTGTTCAGTTTGCATAGGGCATATGCATTGATATATTAAGTTAAAAAGGGCGTACCCAGTGCAGAGAGCTCCCGCTCTGTGCGGGGTCTGGGGAAGGGTGTCAGTGGCAAGCCTTACCCTCGCCTGTGCAATGCGAGAGACCGCGACTCGAACCTGAGACCTTCCGGTCACAGGCGGTAAGACTCTACCGCTTGCACTAGGCCCACCCATCATTGATATACTAAGTTAAATATATATAATTAGTTGCCTCAGAGATTGACTTCCAATATACCATGTCATCTGTAACCTGCTCCCCTGCCCATGTGATGTACATATCACAAACCTCTACAAACTAAGAACCATATTCAACCATTGACAGCCAAATGGAATAGCTAATACTTTCATACAGTATTAGTGAAATTATTCAATCTAATATATATGAAATAAAGACCCAAAGGGAATGATATCAGGACATGACAGTTGCACAATTGCTCTAACAGGTACAGTACAACTCAGGCTTTCTATGGTTATTTAGTCACTTATAACAGTCAAAGAGCATCATGTCACTATTTTCCAGAAAGATAGATCCACAGCTATGCTATATAAATTCTCAGGAGATTTAGCACTAATTTTCTGCAGGTATGGTTATAGTTCTCAAGTAAGCAAATAAGAATCAGTTTCTAACATATGTTAAACCATCTTACATTTGGCTAAAAAATATTTATGATTATATGCCCAAAATGTCAGAAGAACATGAACAGATTAGCCCCCCACAAAAACTCTCACAGTATTACAATTTCCTTAGCTGTTACATACATTACAGTGTTCTGTTTCGGGTACCACACCGATGTATAGCTTTTATTTGGGATTGCAGGGAGCGACATTCTTTAACCTTTTCTTAAATTTTGATTGTTGGAAAACAAAAGTTGTTATTCATTTAAGCATAAAATCACCCATATATACTTTGGTTGTTGACATTGAACACAGTAAAATAAAGCATCACAAACAGCTAAGCTAATGAGCAGACTTACCCAATGGGAGAGAGAGCCCCGCCCTCCTAACTGCAGCTGGTATTGATGAGGGATCAGTATTAACGAATAGCTGCTTAGGCACACGTACTTTACCTGCAGAAGAGAACTGCACCATAATGATGAAATAAGCCTTTATAAAGGTTCTAAGAACCATCCTGGGGTGAAAGATGACCACAGTTCGTTGCCAACATAAATGGATAAACAAATAAAACAACAGTCCAAATGCTTTTACCGCCATATGTGAAAGTGAAAAAAAAAAATATTGTATTACCTAGTTCCACCAAGAGAATGTTCATCTACCAAGGTTGGTATAGTAGAGCGGTAACCGTTGTTTACATAATAAACTGTCTTTAGCATATCAAGTGTAAGTATTATATTTGTGCAAGGGATAGTTTTTATTCAGGGCCATGGAGTATCATGAATAATAAAAACTGTTCGTATAAAAATAATACTTGCATTTTCTCATATTCATAACTATTGACAGGACAAGCAAAAAAAATCAAAAGTGGGTATTGGGTAGTCATATCGACTGAAACAAGGTGTGCATTTCGCTTAATTGAATTTCTATCAAAATTCCTTCAGTGCATATTTATAAATAAAAAAAACTGAAGCAGTTTAGGTTTGAATAGCTCAAATACAGAAATGGAAACAGCCAAAAATGGCAATTTAATGTATCCTAAATTTAAGAAAATGTCCCAAGTACCCCCTAAACCATTTTCAGTTTATTTTTCACATCAGCTGCAACACAATTTAATTTACATCCCTCGCTTATTAATACTAGTCCAGATCACCCTACAACTGAGATTTTGCTGCGCTGCATGCTGACATCGTTCAACTTTTGATATGGTAGTAATGGAACCACCAACTGTGTCAGTTAAATTTTCTATGTGTTTTTCTGATTGAATAGCCATTTGGTCCTCTTTTCTGCACTTTGTGCCTCTTAACCTTGGCTAAGCAGGCAGAATGTTTGTATTGCTGTTATCTTTTTCTCTCAATATCAATTCATGGAAAAGCACATTCTTCAAAAAAGAGGCAAATTATATTGTACAACCAACATGGTTGAGCTAAGCACTCTGATTTTGATACTTACGGGATATAAACTAAATGGTACTGAAAATTGAGAGCGAAAATCACACCAAGCCAACCTCATGGTGGTTATTTGGTCACTTATACCTTCTTTTTTAAGGGAAATGTATTCCTTCTATCAGAAGGAGCAAACATGTTTCTGTGCTATCATTGAAGGGCCAATATTTTTCCTCAAACAAAAAGAATAAAGGAAAAGCTGTATAACATGATGAAACTGATTGGTTTGTTCCAACAAACAATGAGAACACATTTTTCAAAGAAATTACCATGACAATCTGTGAGGTCCAATTCAGATACTTCTTGAAGCATAGATTGACGATCAAGCAAGTTTGCTATTGCGCCAGGTGGATCAAGAACAGTAACTTCTGGGTGTGCCTCCCTATATTCCTATCAAAATGAGGCAAAATAATTTATAGTTTAAATCAAAGATATAATGAAGCTGATTTTTTATAAAACATTTTAGACACTTCTATCTAAAATAAAAATGAAAAAAGTAGTTTAAAACATTTTGAATTACTCACCTCCAACAATTGCTGCCACCCCTTTCCAGTCAACTGCAGAAAAGACAACGGCAACGTAACGCTCAGTCAAATAAGGAAAATCTTAGCAACAATGCAGCAAATTTCAACTTCTCCAGGTTTAATATATATAACTACTACTAGAATATTCCAGATTGGCTGACCTTATGAAGAACAATGTCAAATGGACCTTGATCAGACAATGGACGTTTCTGATCAATAGCGACAAATAAGATTCCCTTTTTCCTGCAGTATGTTTTAGAAGGATAAGAAAGTGACAATATGGGCAAAATAAAAACAGCTGCCAAATTATAACCATTTTTGTTCTATCAGCAGCACCTTGAGCATTGCGAGCGTATAAACTTTTCTAACTCTATTTCCCATTAAAGAGCCAACTCCACATATGAGCACAGTTATATGTTTTTTTATTGTTTTTAATGAACAACCGCATTCCAAAGATGATTTCAAGTTTGCATTCAAAGAAAAAGCCTCCTCAACTGTTTCAGGAGTACGAGTCATGAATCTAATGGGACAGGACAAGAGTCCACAAGACTATGCTACAAAAGAAAAGGTCACTATTTCAGTAACGGCACAGATCAATTATCCTAAAGTTGCTCCTCTCTTCCAAACTCTCACCGATATGCATGTTTGCTACTAGCTAGTCAAACAGCTACTAGCTAGTCAAACAGCACTAGAATATGCTCCCTGATTGGTGTACATCCAGAAACATTTTAAAAAAGAAAGGACACGGTATATAATCATCAAAAAGGCTGGACACCCAACACTACCGATTTCTTAAAAGAGCATGTGGATCAGTCCAAGCATAAAAGGTAATGCACATGCTTATCACAGGTTACTAAAATATTCCTATGACACCATGTGGAACCTACATTAACTCCACATTCCACGTCCAGTCCTGATCCAGGTAATGTGCGTGCAGGGATATGTTCCTAACTGTAACTCATCTGTGCAGGCGAACGAAGTAGCATTATAGGAATATAGGATCACAAGTCATCAATTAAAAGAAACTATCTTTTATATCTATGATGTATTGCCATTCAGGATCCTACATTTGCTTCCACATTCTCCACTAAATTTTGAACAAATTGCTATCACTGTGTGGAAATAAGGTTGCTATCAGAAGGGATTATAAAACTACCACACGATAAGGAATGCAGCAATGTCGCTTTCTTATCCCCCCAAAAAATAGCAGCAACATGGAAATATGTTTAAGCACAATAGTGCATGTTATTATATGTCACTGTAGCCGATGATTCTAGAATCTAGAGAATGAAGCTACTCCAGTGGAATTGAATAAACATTAGTATAAGATTATCTACTGGTAAAATTGTACAATAATTCTACTTGGAAAGGGATAGCAAAGGTGCTTCCACTTTGGCAGGAAAACAAAAAGGCACGAACGTCCAGTAAAAATCAAACCATATCAGAAAGCAGAGATTCGGTCAGACTTTTTTCAATCTCAAATGACGCTTTTCACCGCCTTCTGGGCCAACTCCACACGTTTTATTCTCAACGTTCAGCGGTTGCTAGTAGAGTCTAACTCAGGGAGATAATGGTAAGAAAAAGCCATCTCCAACACCCCCCTGAAAGTCTGAGAAAACAGGGGGCGGGGATCACTGTCTCCAGAATATACCAAGACAGAGACAGGCGGCGTCAGTAAATTAACGAAGTGGAAACAATGAGAACAAAAGACGAGGTGCCGGCGTGCTGCTGCTGCTACTCAGCAAGTTCTCCATGGTACTCAAAAATCATCAGACAAAAACTGGTGGAGAGAAAGATCACTGTTCTATTCCGCCTAATTCCATCACACCAGCATAAGGACCGCCACCAAACGCTGGCTCCCAATGCACGCCGTCACCATCCCATCCCAAGCCCACCGAAATATCCCAGACGCGGCGCACCTTTACCGCATGGACCCGTCTCTACCTAAACCAAACAAAGGCGGAGCACGTGATCCCCCCGCAGTACCTGGCGAGCCCCCGGAGCTTGGGTTGGAGGAAGCTCTTGGCCTTCTTAGACGTGAGCGCGTACCCCACCACGACCTCCCTCGCGGGCGCCGGCACCACCGCCTCCTCCGCGGCCGCCGCCGGCGCCACCGCCTCAGGGTCCACCTCCCCCTCCGCCCCCACGCACCCGCCCGACACCATCGCGGCGGGCCGAGGCCCAATAGCGGCGAGACAAACCCGGGCGGACCGGCCGGCGCGAGAGAGGAGAGTGGTGGGCGATCCAGGTCGAGGCCAGGCGGGCGGCTGCGAGATCGGGAATGCCGGGAGGGGAAGGGGACGCGGCCGGAGCCCTAAGCCTCGGGAGCGGAGCGGTGCGGTGCGGGGACAGGTGGTGTGTGCGGGAAGGGCAGGTCGAGGCGTCGAGTGGAGAGAGAGAGGAAGAGAGAGGAGAGGGCGAGGGAGGTGGGGGCGCCTGCGTATTTGTAGGCGGAGGACGGGAGCAACTCTGCCTCTGGGACCCTTGGAACCCAAGTGTCTGCCATATTACGGTCTTGCCCTTGTACTCTTCTCTTCAGTTTTCTTTTCCACTTTTCCTTTCCTTTTTGTGCTGCGGAACAAACTTTATCCTGAAATCCGTATGGAACTTCTATTCCAAAAACACTCTCTAGTAGTGTGGATCCAAGTGTTGTTTGAAAAGAATGTAGCTCGTCTAATAATTAATATAAAGGAAACACATTACGTACATACTCCCTCCGTTTCAAATGAGGTCGTTTTGACTTTTTTTACATTAATTTTGCTATAAATTTGGTTATAGCAGATGTCTAGATACGTAGTAAAATCTATATAAAAAATTAAAAATGACTTATAATCTGAAATAGAGGAGTATATATAAACAGTGAACAATTAACAATTACAACGATCGGAGTGAATTAAGGGCCTATTTGGATCAATTAGCACTCAAAATTAGCTAGCTAAGAGCATCTTCAAAAGACTCTTCATATTCGTCATAAATGCTAGGAATAGAGATTTTGGTGAAAAACTACTCTCCAACAGCTCATCTAAATAGTCATCCAAATATAGCCATCTTTTATTCTGGATTTTTCGCTAGCTAAAAATAGAAGACGGAAATGGCTCTCTAGAGTGCGTATGAGATATAGAAGAACTGTTGGAGAATAAAAAAATATAGAAATCGATTTTTATACAAATGACTCTCCAAATCATGATTTAGAGAGTGAGATTTAGAAAAGCTCTTGAGATGCTCTAATAGCTGTTAATTTTTTAGCTACCTAATTTTTAGCAAGAGACTGTTTGGATCAACTTGCTAATAGGTGGTTGGATAGTGAGTTGAATGTGCATACGAACTATTAAAACATATTAGCAACTTTAAACTTGCTAATAAAATTAATAGTTAGCAACCCTTTAGTTAATAATTAAATAGGTTTATCAGTGCTAATGGATCCAAACACCGTGAACAAACGGTGTGTTGCAGGTGTAGAAATTCATTGCCAGATAGAAAAAGCTACCTATTTCCACACTTTAATTACGAGCATTTCCAGGCTGCAAGCAAGGCAAGTACTAAAATGGTGCTTAGCCGCCCAACCAGTGCGAGCCGACTCAGTTTTTATTGTCCCGCTTATTTAGGCTTGTTTGACTTATAAATTAAACTTTTTTAGTTAATAAATAATATTTTTTTCTCACATCAAATTCGTCAACGGTACTGTGCATCGTGCATATAACTAGTGGTGCATCCGCGTAACCATATGCGCCGTTGCAGTTGGAGTTGCAGTGGCCCGCTCGGAGCTGGATGCCTTGCATTTGCGTACACGCATGCAATAGGTGTAAGAAATGGGCAACGACGACCGTATATACGTAGAATTTGTACGGCTATATACAGGCTGGTGTTCGGACAAAATTAACCAGCCATGTAGCATCCGGGATTTTAGTAGAGACAGTCCCATTTTGTTACTACTACTATATATGCATGATGCGCATCAGCTAGTGTGTAAGATAGTGCGAGGAAATAATCAATCTGCCGTGTTTTTTTCTGAAGCAACAATGCTCTGAACTGTAATGCAGAAGGTCTTATCAAAAAACAAGTGACGTCTGCACCAGGCTAATCGCTTGGGAAAAAAAATGTCCAGTGGATGCATAGATCAGATAATACGGGACTTGAATCTTGGTGCAGTAAAGCGTGGGCCATCACGTAAGGTGTACTCCTCTCGAACAATTTTGTATTATTAAGAAAAAAAAACTAAGCAGTTTGCTTCTATACGTGATGGTTGTCGCCGGCAGTCTGCCGCTTTGCCCGGCGCCGGCGGCCGGCGGCCACTTTCTTTGCTGATGCCTGATGCTGGATTTCTGGTTGACGTAGGCAGCTCCATTAAAAACCGCAAGTGACACTTAACTAATCCCGCGTTGATTGGCCTGGTTATAGCTTAATATCATAGTACGATGAAGACCCATGTAGTCCTTGAACGATGTACTGAACTGCTCAACAAATCACGGGTCTTTATCGAGTGCTCATTACCGGGGATTCTTTAAAGAGTAAAATCAATCAGACTAGAGAATGTCTTAACCAAGTCCTGGCACCAAGCAAGTCACTAACACAAATCGCTCGGAGAGATGGCATGTAATTCCAGCGTGTGTTAGGGCCTGTTTGGTTTGCGAATTTTTTGGCGAAATGACACTGTTGTATTTTCGTTGTTATTTGACAATTAGTGTCCAATTATAGTCTAATTAGGCTTAAAAGATTCGTCTCGTGGATTTCGTCTAAACTGTGTAATTAGTTTTATTTTTTATTTATATTTAATGCTTCATGTATGCGTCCAAAGATTCGATGTGACGGGGAATGTTGAAATTTTTTGCAAAATGAAGTGAACTAAACTGGCCCTCGGTGGCCTCCACTGGTTGATCCAAACGAAAGGCAAGCAATTAAAAAAAAAAGTCCTGACACGAAACCTTGAAACATGCTTGCAGAGTTGCAGTTGCGCTCCTTCAAGGCCAGTAACAGACTGCGGTAGAAAAGAACTGAATCTCACCGGTTGGAAATGAATCTCCGTTGTTCAGATAATACGCTTTCTGATATTTAAACAGCATTATTTTGCTTATACACAGACAAGCGTCATGTTCGTTTGGGCTTGTTTGGCTTATAAGTCGTACTTTTTCACAGTACTTTCAGCCATAGCTTATCAGCCAAATAAGTCCAAATGAACAAGACGAGGGTCAAGGCACGCGGATCGATGTGCTCCGACTGATGTGCAAGGCTTCGTGGAATACCGGCAAGGAAGCTTCCATGGGATATTCTAGATTCATCATTGCCGTGCTCCCCATCCCCATGGACGGTGCAATTTGCAAGCCCACCTGCGGCAGCGGCAACCTGCGGCCACACTGTTCAGAAAGAGGACTTCCTGGCAAGTTGGCATCTTGAATCCTGATTCCTGGAACTGCTTCCTTCCAAAGGAACGGAAGATGAGTGGAATTGCTCCTCCTTCGCTGTCAGTGAGCAGTATCCCCGCCGTTTTGCGATGTGTGGATGAATATGACGCGAGTGCCTGTGCAGGAGTACCCCGTACTGTACTTCATTAACCAAAGAACATAAAGGTCTGGGGAGTTTTAAGTACTGTAGTAGGAACCATCAAAGCAATTAATTACAAGGCAGCCTGAAGTAGGCATACGGATGTGGATCGAAATCATTTTGTTTCGAGCTGAAGTCGGATAGTGTAGAACAAAGGATTACAGTGATGGACATTGTTCCGTAAAACGACATAAGTTGGTTTTTTTTTTTGTCTAGAGGGAGATTGCCAGAGGATGAACAAGAGAGATGGAAGTATCTTGGCTTCAGATATGCACGAGGCCTCATCTCGGCAGGGGCATTCCCCCTTGATCTTTTTCAGCCGAAAGGTATATTTGCTTTATTCAATTTGTATGTGCAGTCCGTGAAGGTTCTTCACGTGACAGCTATAGAATATCTCCATCGTAGTCCCCTGATATATTTTTTTTCCTTATACAATCGGGATCTCGAGAAACATACTCGATTTGCAAAAGGAAAAAGGGTACAAGAGTTATTTATGGTGAGTCGTTTTCAGTTCCACATCACAGATATGGATGCAGCACAGCTAGGAGAACCGGTACGGCAAGTGGATATGATCTGCACGTTCAGGCCACCTCGACTCCAGGGGCCCTTCTATCCGGACGCACACAAACAAATGGGTTTCGGCCGCGACTCCAACATAGCGATATGCGTGGCAGCCCGAGGATGAGACACCGCTTCCTTTTTTATTTTTGAAACCTCGCAGAAACTTTATTCACCGAGGATGGTTACATCGTTTATCACAAAAGCAAGAATAAAACTAGGGGGCTCACCGTCCCAAGTACAATTTTTGCTTCAGTAACGTAGGACATGTTCGTTTGTCTTATAATCCATACTTTTCAGTTTGTTTTTTCAGTCGGAACAGTGTTTTCCTCTCACGATAAATTAGCCGGAACAATGTTTCGGCTTGTTTTTTCAGCGAAGCGAACGGGGCCATAGCTCTCTTTGTCAACTCGTGCGCCGCCTGATTTGCATCCCTGCTACAATGCTCGATTGATATTTCCTGAAACCCACTCCATATTATAATACATTCATCATATAAAGCAGCAGCAGAGGTTTCGGAGTAGACCCCATCCTTCATGGTCTCAACCACCTCCATACAATCTGACTGGATGATTAATCGATCGCATCCTATGTGCTGAGCTAGCATCAATCCATCCTTTAGAGTGTAAGCCTCAGCCATCGGTGCATCGATAACATGGGCTATGAAACTGTAAGCAGGCGCTAGAACAAGCCCTGAGCTATCTCTAATGATGGCACCCACGCTTCTACACCCCACATCCTCATCAAATCCTGCATCAACGTTTACCATGATTTTGCCCTCAGGTGGTTTCTTCCATCCTTCTATGATCTTCACCCCCTTCTTTGATGCCAATTTATAATTCCTAGTTAGAGCTGCAATCGATGTAGCCCATCTCGATGCCCGCTGGATAGTATCACCATGGGTGTGTTGTTGGCTTGTCGCCTCTCCCACCAGATATACCAACTTCCCACTAGAACAAGCTCCACCATGCCAATATCTAGACTCCTAATTTTCTCTCCTCTTCTTATAATTTCTTCCAAGATGATAGAACCTGACCGATCTGTGCTAAGTAGAGAAGATATCATGCCCCAAATACCAACCGCACTCCATGCAGCCTTTGCATGATCACGCGTGAACAACAAGTGCTTGATATCTTCAGCTCCGTGTTGACACATCGGGCATCCACTAGTGGCTGAAATATGCCGGTTTGCGAGGACAGCCTGGCAAGGAATAAAACCATGCAAAACCCGCCATCCAAAAATCTTAATCTTCCCCGGTACATGCAGTTTCCACATCCTCTTCCAAACTTGACTCCTAGCTGCACTACTTGCTAACATCGAGCTGCATCTTGGCCCAAACTTACTCTCTCATAGACAGTGGTAAGCTGAGCGCACTGAAAAGATCCCGTTTCTATTAAAATGCCACGCCACTACATCTTCCCTCCCCGGAGTGATGGGGATTTCCAAAATTCGGGGCACATCAACTGGCCAAAATATGGACTTAATCAAGTCAACATCCCATATTGTATCTATTGGGTTGATCAGCTCCTCCACCTTTGAGATCAGATTATTCCCTCTAGGTGTTTGAATCTTTAGATTATGACTCCCCGGGATCCAACTATCCTCCTATATATTTATTTGTGTGCCATCGCCTACTCTCCAAATGTAGCCACGTTTGAAGCACTCAAAGCCCTGCTAAAATGCTCTGCCATGTATATGAATACTCACTCTTCATCTTTGCCTTTAATAAATCTCCATTAGGATAATATCTGGCTCTCAACACCCTAGCACAAAGAGAGTCTGGATTGATCAGCAATCTCTAGACCTGTTTTGCTAGCATAGCCAGATTAAAAGATTGTAGGTCCCTAAATCCCATTCCTCCTTTACCTTTTGTCATACAAAGCTTCCACCATTCTTGCCAATGTATTCTTCTATGTTCATCGTCATCACCCCACCAAATTTGTGAGATAGTACTTGTTATTCCGTTGCAAATGTTTTTAGGAATTTTGAATACCATCATCGCATAGACCGGCACGGCTTGAGCAATGGACTTAATCAGAATTTCCTTTCCACCCATACTCAACATCTTCTCCTTCTACCCATTTATCCTGGTCATCACTCTGTCTATCAAATGACTGGAAGCAGTCACTTCGGTCCGCCCCCACCATTGCAGGTAGTCCTAAATATTTGTCATTCAGTGACTCCATTATAATATTCAGTGCTTCACAAACCTCCACCTTCACATCAACATCAGTATTTGCTGAGAAAAAAATACTCGACTTTGCCTCACTTAGCTTCTGCCCCGAGCTAACACAATACCTGTTTAGGATGTCCGCTAAAACATCAGCATTCTTCTTATCCGCATGCATCAAAATAAGAGAGTCATCTGCGAAAAGAAAATGTGATATTATAGGAGCCTCCCTACACACTTTGATTCCCTCCAGCTCTCCTCTTTCCTCTGCTCCTCTAAGCATGCAAGACAAGCCCTCCGCAACCATCAGAAACAAGTATGGTGACAACGGATCACCTTGTCGCAAGCCCCTTGTAGGTGAAAAAAATATCTGTCTCCACTGAATTAAAACGAACAGTATACTAGACTGAGTTAACACAAGCCATAATTAGTTGAATCCATCTTCGATCAAAACCCAGCTTCATCATCATTTTCTCTAGAAAAAAAACATTCTACTCTATCATAGGCTTTATGCATATCCAATTTTACGGCACACAGACCCCGCTTCCCTTTCTTCTTCTTCATTGTATGAATGCATTCATAAGCTAACAGGATATTATCTGTTATTAACCTTCCTAGGACAAAAGCACTCTGATGATCACTTATAATATCTGGTAGAATAACCTTAAGTCTATTGGACAGCATCTTCGAAATTACTTTGTACACCACATTGCACAACGAGATAGAGCGGAACTGAGTTACCTTATCAAGATTTTCTGTCTTTGGAATCATGACAATGGTAGTATTATTCCACCCATCTAGGATAGTCTTGTTATTTATAGCGCCTACCACCTCTTCCGCCAGATCATCCTCTAAGAAATTCCAGAATCTCTTGAAAAATATTGCGTGCAGCCCATCCGGACCCGGCGCCTTCAGATCACCAATACTAAATAGAGCTTTTTTTTACCTCCTCTCTCGAGAAAGGTGCTAGAAGAAATTGATTCATCTCGCTCGTTACCTTCTGGTTAACATCTACCAGCACCTCATCATCAACGTCATTTACCTCCGATGTGAACAGGTGCGTGAAATACTCCTGCACCATCACCCCCATCGTCTCCACGTCTTCATGCCTAACTCCCTGGTCGTCCACCAGTCCCTTCACCGTATTTTTCTTCTTCCGGCTAGAGCCAAAGTGATGAAAAAAATTTGTGTTCCGATCACCATGCTTAAGCCAATTTGCTCGTGCTCGTTGGACCCAAAAAATCTCTTCCTGCTCTAGCAATAATTCCAGCCGGAGAAGGATCTCCTTTTGTGCTGCAATGGAGTCATCCGTCATCGGCCCACGCCGTAGCTCCTGTAACTCCCGCTGCAATCTCTTCTTTTGTTGAGACGGTTTCCTTAAAATCTCCATATCCCAAGTGTGTAAATCAGCATGCACTTGGTTCAACTTTGTCACGAGCGTTCCTTGAGCCGACGCTCTTGCCCACGCCGATTCAACCACTTCATTCACCGTTTCCTCCTTCAACCACCTCGCCTCAATTCTTTTTGGGCCCCGGTGTATCATATTTTGTCCCCCAAGCTGATTCGTGTCCACAATAATTGGACGATGGCCTGATTTCAACATTTCACCATTCACCAGACCCACATTAGGGAATTTAGTATTCCACTGAGCATTTGTGACTCCCCGTTCTAAACGCTCTCTTATCTTTCCCCTCTGCCATGTGAAAATATCGCCCGTGTAGCCCATATCCGCCAACTCAGTCTGCAAGTGCATCATGGAATGCTTGCAGTTACCTCTGGGTTCTTGCCCGCCCTCCTTCCTTCTTATAGTGATATAGAATCTCATTAAAATCTCCCAGAGCCAGCCAAGGGAGAGAGCCAGGCTAGCGTTCAAAGAGCGCATTGCTTCCCATGTTCGGTCTTTGTGTTCCCAGGTAGGCTCCTCATAAATCCCAGTTAACCTCCAATCTCCTTCATCCCGAATAATAACATCAATATAATACTGTGAAACACCTTTGCACTGAATCACTATTTCTTTCTTCCAAAGCATCAACAAAGCACCGCTGCGGCCATCACTTTCATAAATGATAAAATGATCGCAGCCGAGTCTCTTCAAATTTTCTGCCTTTGCCTTTCCCAAATGAGGCACCGCTTCCTTTGCTTGGCAGAACGGCAGACCAAGAAGCGGAGTAGCCTAAAACGGAGGGTGGAGGACTGGAAATCTGTCTGCTACTCGTGTTCAGGATATTCACTCTGTAACCGACGTACGATTACAAGAGGTTCGATGCATCAAACAATACACAACAATGATGACAAGACGACACGACAGCAAGACAATCATCCAACTAGATTACGCCGATGACACAAGACGAACCAGGCGATAAACGAAGTGCATCTCAGAGATCAAGAAGCAACAATATAGACAATAACGATTCTTAATAACCCAGTAGCAAAGCAGGGGAATTAACCACAAGTCTTACAACATCAGGTGTTGTAAACCACACAATGACAGAAAAGTTCAGAACCGACAAACACAACACACGATACAATGAGCCACTCTGGGCAGATCACGGGACAATTGCAGCAAACAGGTCCGACGCTGTGGCACCAGAAAGCTTCTAGTACTCATCACCCTCGTCACCATCCTCACCCTCGTCGAACTCAGCACCGACCTCCTCGTAGTCCTTCTCCAACGCAGCCAGGTCCTCACGGGCCTCAGAGAACTCGCCCTCCTCCATACCCTCACCCACGTACCAGTGCACGAAGGCACGCTTGGCGTACATGAGGTCGAACTTGTGGTCGATGCGGGAGAACACCTCCACAACACTGGTGGAGTTGGAGATCATGCACACGGCACGCTGCACCTTGGCCAGGTCACCACCGGGCACCACGCTAGGAGGCTGGTAGTTGATGCCGCACTTGAAGCCAGTTGGGCACCAGTCCACAAACTGGATGGTGCGCTTGGTCTTGATCGTGGCCACAGCGGCGTTCACGTCCTTGGGGACCACATCACCACGGTACATAAGGCAGCAGGCCATGTACTTGCCATGGCGGGGGTCACACTTGGCCATCATGGAGGATGGCTCGAAGGCGCTGTTTGTGATTTCAGCCACAGACAGCTGCTCATGGTAGGCCTTCTCAGCAGAGATCACTGGAGCGTAGGAGGAAAGCATGAAGTGGATCCTCGGGTAGGGCACCAGGTTGGTCTGGAACTCATTCACATCCACATTAAGAGCACCATCGAACCTCAGGGAGGCAGTCAGGGATGAGATGACCTGAACAACATCAGTAACAGCTGATGGTTAGAGACAAAAGCCCAGATTTCAGAACGTTTACCTGGCAGAATGCAAAGGCAGACCAAGACAGTACCTGGGACACAAGCCTGTTGAGGTTGGTGTAGGTTGGGCGCTCAATGTCAAGGGAGCGGCGGCAGATGTCGTAGATGGCCTCATTGTCGAGAAGGACAGCGACATCAGTGTGCTCGAGGAGAGAGTGGGTGGACAGGACACTGTTGTATGGCTCAACCACCGAGGTAGAGACCTGGGGGGATGGGTACACAGTGAACCCAAGCTTGGACTTCTTGCCGTAATCAACAGACAGGCGCTCCAAAAGGAGGGAACCAAGTCCAGAGCCAGTTCCTCCACCAACAGCGTTGAAGACAAGGAAGCCCTGGAGACCAGTGCAGTTATCGGCAAGCTTCCTGATGCGGTCAAGGCACAGGTCAACAATCTCCTTGCCAACTGCAAGAGAAGCAAATCAAGTTTAAGTAAGATGTTCATTACAGAGGGAATATATCTGGGACCCATGTAAACTGAAGATCAGATCAGATTACTTACTGGTGTAGTGACCACGGGCGAAGTTGTTGGCTGCATCCTCCTTGCCACTGATGAGCTGCTCTGGGTGGAAGAGCTGGCGGTACGTGCCAGTCCTCACCTCATCGATGACAGTGGGCTCAAGGTCAACAAACACAGCACGGGGGACGTGCTTCCCAGCGCCAGTCTCACTGAAGAAGGTGTTGAAAGCATCATCACCTCCCCCAATGGTCTTGTCACCAGGCATCTGGCCATCAGCCTGAATAGGATACAAACATAGCATCCTTATTTATGCAAATTACAAAAGGAGGCCATATGATTCAAATGCAGTCAGTGTAAAATTGCATGCCACCTACACTAGTACACCAAAGAGATGCATAATCTTCAAGGTAACACGTGCCTGAATGAGCATGTTTCAAACCATGATTACATAATACATAATGCCAGTCTCTATCCCATTTCTAACAGATCTAAACAACAAGAAGCAATTGGATTAAGGTGCCTAAGCCTGATGTGTATTAATCTTTTGCAGATCTAATAACAATACGAATAGATGTACATCAAATTAACATACTGTACTCTGCATGTGTACATCAAGGGTCTACATATAAACAGGCAATACAAACTTGGCCTATGAATATTTACAGATCCAAAGTGACAGTGCATTTAAACTTTCAGAGCACTCAGGTCTACCACACGTATAGGCAAAATCAACAACAAATACCCTATATAATTACTAAATTTACTGGATCATGGAAAATAATGTGCAATATCGAGTAATTCATATTCAAATACTCTATCCAAAATTACAGATAACAAATAATCGCGACCTCGATCAGACACCATTTCACCAGATCTACGGATCAGACCTAGCAAAGGCGGATCTGGGCAACCACCATCACATACAGCCAGATCCGTACAAATCTACCGATTTTAAATACTAATTCGTCTCCCGATTCAGTCCCGCCAGATCCAGCACACATCAGCGACGAAACTCACATACCGATTACAGATCTACGTCAACAGCGCGACAACGGAAGAGGAAATGGACGTATCGTTACCTGAATGCCATGCTCGAGGCAGTAGAGCTCCCAGCACGCGTTTCCGACCTGGATACCGGCCTGGCCGATGTGGATCGAGATGCACTCCCTCATGGTGTCGTCTGAAGGGTGGAGCGGCGGCGGGTGTCGGAAATGGGAGAAGGGGGAAAGCTTTGAGTCGCGGAGAGAGGCGAGTACGAAGACGCCTGTCTCTGCGGTGCTCGGCTTAGGGTTCCGCTGCCTCCCACTCGGCTCACTTTATAGAACGGAACGACAGCCTGGGCCACGATGGAGTGCCGCCGAAGCGAAAGCGAGGGGACGAGACGGTGTTTTTGCGTTTGAGCCCCTGGGTTTTCGATTGTTTTCACGGTTCGGGCTCCTCGTCCGTGCAACTGTCGGTTTGTTCGTGCCACTGCCACAGACAGTGCCAAACCGACTAATCTGGGACTTATTAGGACTTGGGAGCAAAATATTTCAAAATTACTTTGCTTTTTGTTGGTGTACCTGAGTTGCTACGAGCCACAACCCACCGCTGCTAAGCTTACTGTCGGTTTGGGCTGATTTGTTTATAAGCTATGGTTGAAAATATTGTTAGTTATTTTGATGTGAGAGAAAAATATTGTTCGTTGATTAATAAACCATAGTTTATAAACCAGATACAAGCAAGTGAATATGCTGTAGACTATCAGAACTCATATGGACACTCAAAATCAAAATGGATAGCAAAAGATCAAAACTAGCCTTCAACAGAGTATCTATACGGGAGACCTATTTTGATTGCTGAGAGACAAACCTAAATATGGTTATCCTCTCTTCTGAAAACTCATTTGCAAAAAGGATTCTATTTTAGGTCTTATTGTTAGAGAAGATGTCGAATATGTATCGAATCTTTTGCCTGTAGCGTTATCCAAAAGACAAATGGGTCTTGTATTTTATATGTTGTGGTTAGAGATAGCCCTTATTCAGCCTGTTCGGGAGGCCGTATCGTATCGTGGATTATTTACTGCTGGCTGGTTTGGTGTGAGAGAAAAATACTGTTCTCGGCTGGAAATTTACGATCGTTTACGAGCAAGCGAACAGGCTGATTGTCTGTTAAATGGGCCCAGTTATGTGCGTGTCCACGACTGTAGCTCTAAAAAGCAGTTGGTGATCTATTCACGGTTCACCTAACGTTCGGTGCGAGAGGACAGCACCTGCGGCGACATCTTACCTGTCTGTGGGCCAGGCATACGGTAGGACCCGTTTATAGGTGAGTGAGGTGAGACGCTCGACGTGGGTGTCGATTTTGACGGGTGGTTCCCCTTCGTGGGTGCCGCGCTGATATTTTCAAATTTTGAAATGGCGGAGCGGGAGTGCCGACGCTGCCCTGGCCGTTGGGCCGTTGGGCAAGGTTGTGTTTAGTTATTAAAAAGTTTTTCAAAAAGTGCTACCGTAGTTATCACATTAAATCTTGTAATACATACATGGAGTATTAAATATAGATGAAAAAAAACTAATTTCATAGTTTGGTTGAAAATCGCGAGACGAACGTTTTGAGGCTGATTGGTCCATGATTGAACACTAATTACCAAATAAAAACGAAAGTGCTACAGTAACCAAATTTTCAAATTTCGCGAACTAAACACAGGGCAAACATTATTGAGAGCACCGAATAAAAGTTTCTTGAACAGTTTTGAACAACGAACTCTTAAAATATTAGAAATTAGACTCATCAGAGACTTTCTTGGCGGTGCTTGAGTTTTTTCGGCATATTGCGCCCACGCATGCATCCAGGTCGTGGCCTGTGCTTTGCGTGCATCCAGGGACATGTTCGTGTGTCCTTAAATCTAATTTATTTATTTTTTATTTGGAACAGTGTTTTTCTCTCATAGAATTTTTCAGATTTCTCCAAGCGAACGGGACCAGTATGGTTCTCGCTTACCAAGAATCAAACACTCTCGACTTCAATCAAATATATAAAAAAATTAATATATATAGTACATAATTAGTATCATTAGATAGATTGTTAAATATATTTTTATAATATAAGTTTATTTAAAGATAGAAATGTTACTAATATTTTATACAAACATAGTTAGACATAAAAAAGTTTGACCGACACAAATACTATAGTGGGACTTATTTTGTGACGAAAGAGAGTATGGACATGCTTGGTTCCTTTTCTAGCCTTGCCTTACTTTGCTAAGGGTGTGTTTGTTTTGATGATAAAGTTAGATAGGATATGGTCATTTATGGATTTGTGGATATGGATATTCATGTTGTCTGTTTGGTTAGATGGATAGGGCGAGTCAATTTTTTGTTTGGTTGGATGGATATTTGTTGATAAGACGAGTTATTTTTCTGTTTGTTGGATGGATGAGGACGGAGAAGGCAGCTACAGTCACTCCCAACCTAAACTGGTGACGTTATCCCTTTAAAACGTGCACAGCAGCTTCAACATATATACGTCGTTATTGAATTGTTTTTTTAATAAAGAAAAGAATTTCCAAAAGAAAACAAAAAAAAAAAAAAAGAAAAACAGACGCACACGCACGCTCCAAGAACCCAACACACGTACGCACACGACACCACACGGAGACTCAAGGCACGGACGGCCTTATCCTGAGAGCAATTTTGGCTCTCCCTTGCTGGCAAGGAAATCCTTACCCGCACAGATAATGATATAGCTGGATAAAGCATCTAAATACAATCATTGTTCTAACTTTTTGTTGGGAGGCACTAGAGGAAACCAAATATGCCCTATGTATCTATGTGATATAAGTACAACAATAGAACAAGCATTCAACGACAAAAACAAAGCAACATGACTGAGGCTATGTTCGCTTGAGCTTATCAGCCAGAATCAACCCTACTTTTTAGCCATTAAACATTATTTTTCTTCCACAACAAATCAGCCCTATAAATCAAACAGCCCGTTCTCTCATTGTTGGTCAAGAAAAAAATTGAAGCAAGCGGATGGAAGCCGCCTCCGATAGGGTGGATAGGGTGGATGGAAGTCAACGTGGACGGTGCCTTTGAATCAAAGAGGTTTCACAAGAGGCAAGGATAGTCATTGTCATGCCAAACACAGCTGATATCCTAGAAATGCCTTTCACAACAATGGTGGCAAAAGCATGCATGGAAGGGCTAAATCTTACCGTAGCAAATGATTTTTGAGACCGATAAGCACTAGTGCACTACCTCAGTGGTATGGATGCTAGCAAGACGTGATGGACAAAGGCTCTGACTAAGGCCCTGTTTGTAAGCATGGGCATTCGGCGTTCGGTTCTGGGTTCGGTTTCGATTTGTTTCTCGCGGTTTTTAAAGAAATTTGGTTCTTAAAAAATAGGAATCGATCGGTTCTAAAAATTTCTCGGAACCGGCAATTCCGGTTCAGTTCTGGTTCTAACCGAACTAACTGATTTTTTTGAGAATACCTCAAGACAACAATAAATATGCGTGTTGTAAGGCAAATTTATGCAACACTATATTAATTTTTAGTAATAATAACTTATAAGAAAACAATAGCAATATAGTAACACAAATATATAGTATGTCAAATATAAAACACCACACATAAACCAAACATAATCTTACAAAATACAAGTAAGTGTAGTATAATTCATGTAATTCGGTTACCCGAGAGTAGGAACCGAATTTTCTTCGGTTATTTTGGTTCCTCAATATCTGGAACCGAATTTTTCGGTTTCGGTTTCGGTTTCGGTTTTCAGATCTCGGTTAATTTTGCTCAGGGCTACCTGTTTGGATCCATCTCCGCTAAACTTTAGTTAGCTAATTTGACTAGTTAAAGTTTAAACAACAAAAGTTTAGCTGGGCTATTTGGATCCTCTAGCTAATGGGTGGATATTGACACTATCGCCCCTTTCTTCCTCCTCCATCCCCATTGCTCCCACTATCGTGTCTGCCGCCTCCAAGCCATCCTCGCGCCTTATCCACACCACCAGCACCTTCGCCTCCGTCCCTTGCTCACGCTCGTAGTTCGAATTCGAACCAGGACCCTAGGGTCTGCCGCCAGTGCCATTGCCATGGGCGTCAGCAAAGTAGCTTCCGCCGCTCCTTTCTCCTCCTCCTTAGCCGAACCGAGCTCGCCCTCACCTTTTCCATCACCCCACGTGCATTGTCATCAACCGAACCCGAGCCGGGACACGGGAGCCGCCGTGCACTGTCATTCGCAATCGCCGGTACGACCATTGCCACCATTCCGCCTACTCGCGTGGCCTGAGGCCTGCAAACACGTTTGAGCAAGCCACGAGCCTCAGCGGGCCCACGCGAGCCCTTGTCGTGCCTTAGCTCCGCTCGCCACGGGCGACCACCCTATCACCGACCAGCCTAGATCGGCTAGAACGGTGAGCTCTCGCGCCTCCTCTGCTCTTGTGCCTTGTTGCATGCACGTGCTACATTGCCGGTGGATTGGACAGGAGCTGCGTCATCTCGCCAACGAGTCTCGCCGCCTCGCTGTCGTCGCCTGGATTGCGCGGGTGGCAGCTAGGTTCAGCTTCGCGACCGCGCGGTGAAGGGGAAAAAGTGGCGGTCGCGCGCGGATGGGGAGAAAGAACGCAGTCGAGCGGTTCTGAGTGCGTAGACACGAATAAAATGTGCGAGGGCAATTTGGTCATTTGCCACTTTTAGCTCCCATTAGCGGGGCTGGAACAACTAAAGAGATAATATGTTTTACATTAGCTAGGAGCACTTTTAGCTGATTTTAGTTGGCTATTTCGATCCACCACAGTTAAATTTAGTCCACTAAAACTCCAAACAGAGCTTAAGGACACCCACAGTGGCATTTTTTTTCGTTACAAAAGGGAAAGCCGACACATGATTAACGTTTTCCGGTGCGATTTTTCTCAAAACCCAAACCAAACTCTGCGGGTACTGCAACGTATAGCTGTGTGCGTGGCAACCCGAGGATGAGAAGACCACTACCGCTTGTTTTGCATGGCAAAATGGTCGGGCATTCGAGCAAAGAACCAGAGGGTACAATAAAACCTCCGTGACAAGATCTACGTGCCACTCTGGTGCATGCTCAAGACGAAGGTAAGTTTGACGCTTACCGGAGAATGCTTGGGGTAAAATCCTGATGCTTGACTGCCTTGAAGATTGCCAGTGGGGTATACAGATAAACTCCAGAGGCACGGCACCATCAACTACTGATGAGTGATGACATGACGACTCATCTTCAATATCAAAGAAGCAACAATGTAGATAACCGTCCATAAAGACATTCTTAATAACCCAGTGGCAAAGCGGGGGAATTAACCAAGTCTTACAACATCAGGTGTTGTAAACTACACAATGACAGATAGTTCGGAAACCAACAGACTCAAATAACAGAACGAAACACTCATGGCAGATCACGGGATAAGAGCAGCACACAGGCCTGACGATGCCGCACCAGCAAGCTTCTAGTACTCGTCACCCTCATCGCCTTCCTCGCCCTCATCAAACTCAGCACCGACCTCCTCATAGTCCTTCTCAAGCGCCGCCAGATCCTCTCGGGCCTCAGAGAACTCGCCCTCCTCCATACCCTCACCCACGTACCAGTGCACGAAGGCACGCTTGGCGTACATGAGGTCGAACTTGTGGTCGATGCGGGAGAACACCTCCACAACACTGGTGGAGTTGGAGATCATGCACACGGCACGCTGCACCTTGGCCAGGTCACCACCGGGCACCACGCTAGGAGGCTGGTAGTTGATGCCGCACTTGAAGCCAGTTGGGCACCAGTCCACAAACTGGATGGTGCGCTTGGTCTTGATCGTGGCCACAGCGGCGTTCACGTCCTTGGGGACCACATCACCACGGTACATAAGGCAGCAGGCCATGTACTTGCCATGGCGGGGGTCACACTTGGCCATCATGGAGGATGGCTCGAAGGCGCTGTTTGTGATTTCAGCCACAGACAGCTGCTCATGGTAGGCCTTCTCAGCAGAGATCACTGGAGCGTGGGAGGAAAGCATGAAGTGGATCCTCGGGTAGGGCACCAGGTTGGTCTGGAACTCATTCACATCCACATTAAGAGCACCATCGAACCTCAGGGAGCAGTCAGGGATGAGATGACCTGAACAACATCAGTAACAGCTGATGGTTAGAGACAAAAGCCCAGATTTCAGAACGTTTACCTGGCAGAATGCAAAGGCAGACCAAGACAGTACCTGGGACACAAGCCTGTTGAGGTTGGTGTAGGTTGGGCGCTCAATGTCAAGGGAGCGGCGGCAGATGTCGTAGATGGCCTCATTGTCGAGAAGGACAGCGACATCAGTGTGCTCGAGGAGAGAGTGGGTGGACAGGACACTGTTGTATGGCTCAACCACCGAGGTAGAGACCTGGGGGGATGGGTACACAGTGAACCCAAGCTTGGACTTCTTGCCGTAATCAACAGACAGGCGCTCCAAAAGGAGGGAACCAAGTCCAGAGCCAGTTCCTCCACCAACAGCGTTGAAGACAAGGAAGCCCTGGAGACCAGTGCAGTTATCGGCAAGCTTCCTGATGCGGTCAAGGCACAGGTCAACAATCTCCTTGCCAACTGCAAGAGAAGCAAATCAAGTTTAAGTAAGATGTTCATTAGAGGGAATATATCTGGGACCCATGTAAACTGAAGATCAGATCAGATTACTTACTGGTGTAGTGACCACGGGCGAAGTTGTTGGCTGCATCCTCCTTGCCACTGATGAGCTGCTCTGGGTGGAAGAGCTGGCGGTAGGTGCCAGTCCTCACCTCATCGATGACAGTGGGCTCAAGGTCAACAAACACAGCACGGGGGACGTGCTTCCCAGCGCCAGTCTCACTGAAGAAGGTGTTGAAAGCATCATCACCTCCCCCAACGGTCTTGTCACCAGGCATCTGGCCATCAGCCTGAATAGAATACAAACATAGCATCCTTATTTATGCAAATTACAAAAGGAGGCCAAATGATTCAAATGCAGTCAGTGTAAAATTGCATGCCACCTACACTAGTACACCAGGTAGATGCACGATCTTAAGGTAAACTCGTGCCTGAATGACCATGTTACAAACCACGATTAAATCTCAGATTGCAAACATTTCAAATACATAAGCAAAGCCCTACAGAAAGCTAATAACAACTAGGACTACATAATACAACATGTCAGTCTCTATCCCAAAGGCAATTTGGTTCAGTTGCCTAAGGCTGTTAACAATACAAATTGATGTACATCAAATTTACATACTACGCTCTGCATCAGTACGTAAGGGCCTACATATAAACAGGTAATACAAACTTGGCCTATGAAAATTTACAGATCCAAATTGACAACATTTTAAACGGTCTCAGGGCACTCAGATCCACCAAATGTATAGGCAAAATCAACAACAATTACTCTGCATAACTTCTGGATTCAATGGATCGTGGAAAATAATGTGCAATTCTCCATCCAAAATTTAATCAAATTTCTCCATCCAAAATTGTAGATAAAAAGCAATCGCATCCTCAATCAGACACCATTTTACCAGATCTACGGATCAGACCTAGCAAACGCGGATCTGGGCAGCCACCATTGCATACAGCCAGATCCCTACAGATCTACCGATTTGAAATGTCATTTCCTTCCCCGATTCAGTCGCACCAAATCCAGAACACATCAGCGACGAAACTCACATACCGATTACACAACTACCTCAGCAGTGGGAGTGGGAGAACGGAAGAGGAATTGGACGGATCGTTACCTGAATGCCATGCTCGAGGCAGTAGAGCTCCCAGCACGCGTTTCCGACCTGGATACCGGCCTGGCCGATGTGGATCGAGATGCACTCCCTCATGGCGTCGTCGGAAGGGTGGAGCGGCGGCGGCTGTGGGAAATGGGAGAAGGGGGGAGCTTTGAGTCGCGGAGAGAGGCGAGTACGAAGACGCCTGTCTCTGCGGTGCTCGGCTAGGGTTCCGGCTCCTCCCACTCGGCTCGCTTTATAGAAAAGGACGACAGCCTGGGCCACGATGGAGTGCCGGCGAAAGGAGGGGACGATATTTTTGCGTTTGAGCCCTTGCAGTTTCGATTGTTTTGACAGTTCGGGCTTCTCGAGTTCTCGTCCGTGCAACGGCCGGTTGGTTCGTTCTGATATTTTCCGCTTCGTCGGTGATACATTTTTGAAATTTTGAAATGGGACCACTCCCCGTGCGCTGGCAGTTGCTCGGATGTTCTGCGGATCTTCTCGTGTGACTTCGGGTGCGTTTAGTTCGATGGACATCCCATAGGGCGGTCCGATGGACGAGCCTTGTTTGGCTGGAGGGACAAGCTCGTTATAGATATCTCAGTCAGAGGAATATCTTTCAGATGCCAAAATTATCTGGCGAGCTCATCCATGTTTTCTAATCTATGTCATTAGTAAATAATTAAGGATTATTAGTATGTATATTATTGCTTAGTAATTATGATGTCAAGATTAACTTTGATAAGTGCTAATATGTTAATTAGTACATGTTTTGTATGCTAATTAGGATAATTATGGTGCTAATATTTTTGAAAAAAATATGGTGCTAATTAACATTTTTTATTTTTAATTAGGGATTATCATGACAAAATTAGTTTCTATAGAATTATTTAGTATATAATTAGTTGTTATTTTTAAATAATATAAATATAATTAGTAAGTATTCTCCTCCCGTCCACTCTCATGCATCTAACCAAATAGAAAAATGGTCCGTCCCATCCATACAACCAAACAGACATATCCATACCCCTATATCCATGGATGGCAATATCCCATCCACTCTTGTCCTCAAATCAAACACACCCTTCTTGGAGCCGTTTGTGAGCATGTCGGTCGATTTGGTTGGGACGAAGGCCGAATGGGCTGATGCAGAGGGTACTCACAGTCGCATGTGCTCTTTTCATGTTGGGCCCTACGCGCCAATTTTGATGGTGATCTTGTTTTCCAACACAATTGGGATTTGTATGGATGATATTGATAGTTGGTGATCTTGTTTCCCAACACAACTGGGATATTTGTGGTGATGATCTAACCGGAATGGTGCTCGAGGGTTCTCCATGGAGATGAAACACCTGCTGGAATTAACATGATACGTTCACTGTTCTAATTCCCAAGGTCCAAAATCCAGTATCCTTGAACCAATTTTGACCGATAAGCCTTTGCAATGTGATATACAAAATTATATCCAAGGCATTGGTGAACTGATTGAAGATGGTTCTTCTAGATATCATTATAATGAGCAGTCAGCTTTAGTTCCATGTAGAATTGTTACTCATAATGTTCTGGTGGCATATGAATGCTTGTATTTTATGCGCAAAAAATCACTCAAAAGCTAATGCCCACTATGCTTTGAAGCTAGACAACACTAAGGCTTATGATAGAGTAGAATGGAATTATTTAGAGGCAATAATGTTAAAGTTGTGCTTTAGCTATCCATGGGTGATGGGTGGATAAGGTTATGAAATGTGTTACATCTATTTCTTTCTCTGTCTTGTTTAATAGGGAACGATTGCAAGAAATTAAACTATGAGAGGTATAAGACAAGGTGATCCAAAGTTTGTTAAGTACAGAAAAGCAAAGTTGAAGTAGGACCCTACAATACCGAATGGTCTGGTATTCTCGGGCCAGTGAAGTTCCTAGATGAACTTCCTCCTTCTTGGCTCAAACTTCATTCCTAATGCGCAAGGGATTTCCAAAAGATAAAATGTGAAGATATCCTTCACACCAAAGAACACAACCTGAGTAGACCTAAAGAGAAACAACTATAGCAATTCAAAATGCAAGGAGACACTAAGTCGTGGTCATACTTGAGTCGTATGTCTCCATCGATGAAGTTGTGAGTGACCACTCTGGGTGCACTCTAACCGAGTCTCTTTCAACCACGCTCCTCGATCTAATAGGTTGATCATTTCCCTTTCAAGGGCAAGATCGTAGCCCTCATAAACTTGTGGCTCTTTCACAAACTCAGATGCTCACGATCGACTCCTAGATGTTTAGGAGGCTTTACCTCCAAGAGTAAATGCTTCATAAAATCCTTGACTTGCCATAAGTGCTCGAGTGTTGTCTTGCCCTTTTGCTCTCTATTTTGAATCTCACTCAACCCCACTTGAATTTCACACTAAGTATTAGTCTCATAGAGAGAAGGTGTGTGGAGTGTATCACAAGGTTCTAGAAATTTTATGGGGCGCACCAGAATCAGCAACCTCAAAGGAGAGAGCTAAGGGGTATAAATACCCTACTCTAAAAACTAGCCGTTGGACCTGTCTGACCCATACTAGATCCTCTGGTATGTCATACTGGATCCTATGATATGAACTGATCGGACATTGTTAGCTCACAAGGTTAGCTCAAGAACACAGGGTTAACACTGCCTTGGAGCTCATACCATATCCTCCGATATGCCATACTATACTAGACCATTTAGTATGCCCCCCAACAGTACATCAAGTTAGCACTATTTGACCCTTTCTCTCAATCCTTTCATGGGTTAATTTGAGCACCATGAACTAGTCATTGATCAACATGTTGTATCTCTCTTGATAGTACGACATTCCTATAAACTCAATACTAGAAAATAAAATAAAATTAGAATTAAACCACTTGAGCTCCAATTCAATCCAAATGCCACATCTTGCAATCTTTAACACATGAGGGTGGCAACCAACTCATCTCTTTCGTTTGAGCACAACCATCTTGAGCATGTGACTGGGTCTAGTTTCAAACATATGAATTCACTCAATGGCATCAAGTCACTTCTTCCTATAATCCAAGAATGATTTGATCCTCCTCACAATGTGACTTTTCATTGCTTGATTGGTGCCAAAACTCAATGCAAGTACTCTCTTCTTCACCATAGCCTTGGTCCTTCGGCACCCAGGCCATTGCTTTCCCTTCACCCTCGCTTGGTCCTTCGAAGCCCTTTCCTTGCTATCTTCACCCACTCAAGCAATCCCAAGTCATACGGTGATATGGACCAACAATAAGCACGCATAGAAATCCATTTCATTTGTCTTTTGCTTGAACTAGATTGTTTCCATGAGTTTTCTTCTCAATGATACCATCTTCGAATCCTTCAAGCTCCAATAACATTCCATCGTAAAACCGTATCCCGTACCTGAATGTATACTCGCTACAACCAAAAAACATGAATATACTATTTTACTAAAATCACATATCGTTAATTATTTATGAACAGAGATCAACAATTATAACATAGCAACAAAATTTCACTAATTAATATATAAAATTCATAGATATATTGGATATGTGTGTATTTTATAATAATTAACGAATGCATATGTGTTGCTAAGACGGGTATAAAGTACTCGTGGGTACACGGGTATGGGTAGTATCTTTCCGTACCCATACTCGCTTCCTAGTGGGTAGAGATTTTTACCTTTAGCATACCTGCGGGTATAGAAATGTTCCCATACCTATGTCTTTAGCGGGTAAAACCCATCGGGTAATCGGGTATCCATGGGCATCACTAATTCAATCCGAGCTCAGAGAGGGGGGGACCGAGAAGGCACGCTGAATGCTAGTGCTGACGATTTCCTTTGAATCTTTTTGGTAGTAGAGATCCTTTTCAATCCTTTTAGTAGTAGAGATTAGGAGAGGAAGGGGAGATGCGATGAGTCAGAGGTCAACAAGTGCCTCTAGCCAGTTATTGGAGAGTCCATGAGATTGTTTTGTTTTATTTTGTGGTTGTGTTCACATCAAGCAGAGGCTAGAGTTTTTTTCAAACCTTTTGTAGATATATTTTTCAATCTCAAACCTTTTGTATCAGATCACTTCAACTCGATATATCATGTAAAAATCAATAAAATCTTCCTTATATAAAAAAGCTTTTGGAAATGCTTCCCACTAGAACAAGCTCCACCATGCCAATATCTAGACTCCCAATTTTCTCTCCTCTTCTTATAATTTCTTCCAAGATGATGGAACCTGACCGATCTATGCTAAGTAGAGAGGATATCATGCCCCAAATCCAAATCGCACTCCATACAGCCTTTGCACGATCACACGTGAACAACAAGTGCTTGATATCTTTAGCTCCGTGTTGACACATCGGGCATCCACTAGTGGTTGAAATATGCCGGTTTGCGAGTGAAAGGTCCTAATGGCTAGAGGGGGGTGAATAGCCTGATAAAAATTTCTATAACAACATTTAACAAACCGGTTAGACAATTATGAGGTGAAGCAAGTGTTGCGCTAGCCTACTAAAAATGCAAGCCACCTACCACAATTCTAGTTGATATAGTTTCTATCCACACAATAACTATGTCACTACACTAAGTTAGTATGCTCTCAAAGGCTAACTAAAGAGCCACACTAACCAAACTAACAAGCTCTCACAACTAGCTACACTAAAGAGCTTGACAACTAGTTTGCGGTAATATAAAGAGAGTGAGCAAGATAGTTATACCGCCGTGTCGAGGAGTGAACCAATCAATCACAAGAATCAATATCAATGAAGACCAATCACCTCATAATTAAATGATGAACACAATGATTTTTTACCGAGGTTCACTTGCTTGCCGGCAAGCTACTCCTCGTTGTGGCGATTCACTCACTTGGAGGTTCACGTGCTAATTGGCATCACACGCCAAACCATCAATAGGGTGTCGCACAACCAACACAAGATGAGGATCACACAAGCCACGATCAATTCACTAAAGTACCTTTTGGCTCTCCGCCGGGGAAAGGTCAAGAACCCCTCACAACCACCATGATCGGAGCCGAAGACAATCACCACCCTCCGCTCGATGATCCTCGCTGCTCCAAGCCTTCTAGGTGGCGGCAACCACTAAGAGTAACAAGTGAATCCCGCAACA